ACACATCATCATCATCTTTTTTAGCTTGACCACCACAATCTGGCAGCAGAATTCTGCAAATGCTGTCATTTTACTAGTAAAATCGGGCAGGCAAAAAAGTAAGGCGTTGCAGTAATCAATCCTAGATGCAAAGAATGCATGAACGAGACTCCAGCTATAACAATTTATTATATTATTACTATTGTTATACAGTAATATATTTCATTATATTATATTCAAAAAATGATATCCAGTGTTATAATATTTTACTAATTTTAGTCTCCACTCATGCATTTGTAATTCCTCATTTACACAGAATATATATTTAGCTTTTCATCTGTTATAACTTATATGTCTGGAAAAACATGACGACGTATAAAAAAGTCTATAAACAAAAATTCTAAAATAATTGCAATTTATTATGCACGCAGCCATGAAAAAATGAAACAGTTCAACTTCATGTTGATACATATGTACAATATAATAAATATTATATAATATCCGAGTTTTCTATCGTTACATTACAATATATTTAAATTCGTTTAATTAGACTTGTCCTCTAATTTCATTCTAATCTCATTTGCTTCGTTATATGGTTTGTAATTTTTATTCTATGTTTAAATAAACAGATTATAATCAGAGTTGTTTTCAACTCGCAAAGCCATCAATCAGTGGGGGTGCCAGAGATTCTCCAATAGGGGCTCTAAGTTTCCTTACAAGGGCTCAAAATTTCTGAACCTATCTAATGTACAATTATACAGTAGGTGACCACAACTACCTCAATTCTACGATGGTTTGAGCAAATTTTAAGAATAGGCACTTCTATATGCCCCGAAGTTGCAGGACTCTGTGACTGTAAAAATGCTTTTTCAAAGCAGTGTTCCCAACAAAATAAACTGACATTTTTTCCCTGCCTAGGGGGTCTACGGTTCCCCGGCGGTGAGTCCTGTGCCTCATGGACCTCTCCTTCACTAGCATCGCCACTGTTTTCGCTATTTCCAAATTCTTATGTTTAATTAATATTGAGTTATTTACATTTTGAAGACTATTTTTTTTCATTGTAACATTGTTGGTATATTCCCCTCACCTGATCTGTACAGTTTTGAAATTTGATGGCAAAAACACACCCCACACAATCTGGCTAAAAATTATCGAGAAAGACTTGGGTTTCGGATCTTAATGAAATGTCTCCAGACTGGTAGAACAACTGAGGTTATAAAATTGACCCTGCTTATATCTACCGTACAAGTAAAATACAAAATTGCGCAACTATTAACATGTTTAAAATTCTTTACGGAACTACTGTTATTTTTAAATTTATTTCATTACAGAAATAAAACCATTGCTCATCATGGAATATAAATTTACTTAATTTAGTTAATAATTATTATTTAATATACTATAATTATCTAAAATTGTCTCCCACTTAAACCAAAGTTTCTTGTCCAAGTAAATCTCCCCTGTTTTCCGCTGCCATCTTTTCCCACTGTTTCCACTGTATCTCTTCTTTCTTTTTCTTAATTTTCTCTTCATCTGTATCAAATTCAATGGGAGAATAGCTTCCAGAACTAAGTCGATCGTTTCTAATCGTATTATCTCTTTGCTTTGTAAGATCAAGTGGTGATATAGGCGGCGTGAACCAAATCTCGGAATCAACGCTTGCGTAGCTACTTAGGCTTGGCGTGTTATTAACAGGGTGCTCTGTTTGTCTATTGTCCTCTGGTAAGGATTCTACAGTTCTTTTTTTTGGCACCCATACGGGTGAGTTAGTGTTCTCGTCTTTCTGTTTCTGTTCGGCAAATGCCGCCGTGGCAGACCTACGTACTAGTTTTGGGCTTTTCATCTGGCAACCCGGACTATGATCCTTTGATCCGACGGCCGTTTTACGAGACGGTACAAGAAACTGATCATTCTGAACCGTTTGTGCTATGTTACCAACGTATCTTCTCTGCATACTTGGAGATCTCTGTGCAGGAGACGTCTGCATATTAGGGCAGCCGCTATTACCAGATTGAATTTCTGCGTACTTAATTCTACGTGAAGTCCGAGGTGATAATGTCACCGAGTTTTGACGGTCCCGAGTAATCAATGATTCTACAAAAACATTATTATTATGATTTCGCATTCCAAGTTCGGGGGAAGAGCAACCCCGATTCAATCCGCGGGTATTAAGCTGAGGAGAAACTTTAAATTTTCGTTCACTGCCTGCAAGTGAACTCTGCTGGTCATCGTGGCACTTTGAACAATGATTGGCGTTGTCAGACGATTTGAAGATTGGATACGGACCAGCGTATGACAACTCCTCAGGATCTTCAACAATTTTACTTGTTAAATTATTTGATGATGATCGTCCTTGTGAGGGAAACCTTGTTTGAAAAGGATCGAGTTCAGTTGATGATGCTAACGACGTAGACAGTTCGTTATCTTCGTTCAGACTACCGGTGCTAGTAGATTCGAGGTCTGTAGATTCCTTAGAAGTGATGCAAGAAGCTTTGCGATTCAGAAGGTAGTCCAATGCGTCTGGTTCTGTCTCTAGAATGTGATTCAAAACTTCATCTAATAGACTGGCAGGAACCTGCAAAAGGTAAAAAGTGTCATGAGTGTATTTATTGCACTATATAGCAGGGATGGATTGAGGGTGGAGCAATGGCGTATATGCAGGTGAACGGGGGATGTGTGCCCCTCCAAAATTTACTCTCGTTCCCGAAAATCCCTGTCAGTTAAAAATTATCTAAGATCACCCTATTTTGATCATCAAGCCCCCCCACCCCACTTCACCTTTGCACCCCACCATCAGCACCCCCGCTCCAAGACTTCTAGATATGCCATTGGGGCAGGGCCATTTGGGGCTAAGGTGTCCCAATTCCCCCATCATCCCCCACCCCTAGAGAAGAAAAGAAATAAGAGGAGAATGCGGGATTAACTAAAGGAAAGAAAATTTACAAATAATTTACTGAATCCAGAATGAATTTATTTCCTATGATCAGAGAATGCGGGGTTAATGGTTCTCCAAAACAAGCTACATTTTTTTTCTTTAATAAGAGCACTGAGGCTGCAAGTAACAAAATAAATTAAGAACAAATTGAGACTTGGGTAAAATTTAAAATGAGGTTTTTATTTATTTTTTATATAGAAAAACCAACTAATCTTTATCTCTACCTTATGTGCAACGGTGTGACTGTAATACCTTACAGTACAGTAATATGCTACCATACAATAATAATTTTCTATCTTTGTGTGTGTAAAATAAGAACAAAATAAGAACATTTTTAGGAGGTAATTGGTAACAAAATCAGAACACTGAGCCTGGGCAAAATTTTACTGGCTCTTATTAAAAAAGAGTAATTATCAATTTAAATTCCATAGCCCCTATAAAGTGTCTATGGTCAAGCATTCCGAATCCTAATCAAAAGTCTCAAACATTAACCCCTCCCTGCTTGTTGCTTCACACGTTGCATAGCCCCTACCTAGATTTTTCTCTGTCCACCCCTGTATAGTATATCTATGGATTTTAAGAAGGGGGGTGAAACATACATATCTACTTTACCACTTTAAAATCAGGGGTGGCAACGAGGGGCCCATGCTCCCCAACAAGGGGGTCCACACCCCCCTCGTTGGGGGAAGCCTAGCCACCCCCTCCCCACTCCCGGTTGGGGTAAAAAACATTCTCCTACTGAGGAAGAGCTGGCACCACTACTGCAACTCATACGTCGTTCACAACGACCTTGTTGGAAATTCTCCGATGACCTTGTTGAAAATTCCCTTCCCCCAGACACCCCCACTAGCCCCGCCCCTGTTTAAAATGCCTTTTGGAAGCAATATTTTGAAGTGCCACAACTGATAAACCTCATTAATTTTGATTTCTGACCACAATGTATTCCAGGATAAAATGCTGGTTGAAGGATAAAATGTTGTCAACAGTGATTTAAAAATAGTTGATGTAATACTATGTTACTAATTAAAATCTCTGTGCAATTCATTAAGCAATACTGTGAGTTGATCTAGGATTGGTAATGAAGTCAACTGTACAAGGTTTACAGGTAAGACAAAGTGTTTACAATGCCAACTCTTGAGGGCGCTAGTCTACATTAGTGTGAGGCAAATTGTAATGTTCTTCCAAACTTACCATGAATATGTCTTCATGATGATCAACCAGGAGGCTGACCGTTGCGATTACTTCACGACTCTCTTCCCTCTGTTCCATCGCTTCGCCGTGCAGTTCCTGACCAGCTTTTGTTTTCCGTAGAATATTCGGGCCAAATAGGGTACCAAGATTCTGGACGTCCATCTTATTACCAATAACCTAAATAAAGGATTAATTTCAGCACAATTAAACTATTAATCAATCTATCTATCAATCAATCAATCAATTAATCAATCAATTAATCAAAGAAAGATTACATTATTATTATTAAGAATTTGGAATAGGTTGAGAATATTAGCCTGTTTACTTTTGAAAGCTATAGAGAAAGAAGCTGTAGATACAAAAAGGTGGTCTAGTAGTTAAGACACCAGGCAAGTTATCTGAAGGTTGTGGGTTCGATTCCCAACTGAATCACTTGCATGGTTTTTTCGCGAGTATTTGGCAACCTACTGAGCATTCAGTACGAAAACATGTCAGGTAAGGGCATTATCATTCCTATTTAAATCTCACAAATGCAAACACCATTGTAAATACATAATTGATAGTCATTTTGTCGGGAATTAGAATTGATGTTGTTTTAAAATTTTTATTTTTACGAACTATTTTTATTAATGTATTGATATGATTCGCTCTGCCTCACGCGGAGTCAGTGAATTTGTTGCGTTGCGTGTCCATGTTATGCGGTTTATGCGCATCTTGTTTGAAACAAGGCAGTTGATTGACGGCTTTGATTGAGATGAGACATGCTGTGATTCTGTCTTTGTTAAGACCTGATTGAAGAAGCTCATCAAAGTCATGAAATTCTGAACTGTTGATAGCCTATGGTATGTTTTGTATTTTGAAGTATTTATTAAGAATGATGTTAGTCATGTTTAAAGTTAGTTTTAATTCTATTGCTGTAGTTTTATGATATGTGATGTCTCGCACGTAGCCTAGAATTATTCTTGCGTCGTTTGGTGCGAGTCATATAGCAGCGATGTAGGCTGTAAGTAACCTTGCTGTGACAGCATTAACTACTGTTGTTGAATTAATGTAATGTTAATTTAAATATTAAGACTGTATTTGTGTCTTACACAACAAGTTTATATATGATGTTATTGTTGTTAAATAAATTTTTTTTTAAAGACCAGAATACAGTTAATGATGTTTAACTCATTAGCTTTAAGATTCTTGGTCAGCTTGTAGTTTGTTGTTTGACAGACGAACAATCCATTCGTGCTGGCCATATTTTTCGTAGCGTAGAAGTTTTGTTTATAGTACACTAGAGGGCGTTCTAATGTAAATAAAGATGCTGGCGCCCACGATAGACGATGATTATTTCGTAGACGATTATGATTTAGTAGAAATAATACGATAACTTCTGTTTAGAACTATAATCTTTTAAGACTTTGTTTATGATATTTTATTAGTGATATTATATTGCATTTCTATGACAAAGGTAATCTGTACGTAGTAAGTTTAGATTATCAAGAGATTGAATACATTATAAGTTTGTGAATATTCATTTGCCAGGTTGTGCCTATAATATAAAAGAGATACAGTTGTGATTATACTTTACTACGTTACCAATGAGAGTGCATTGCAGGTATTGTTATTATTCTATAAATTTTATGTGTATGATTATGATTATGCTGAGGTTTAGAGTATTGTATATGAGATTATTATGGTTATGAATAAAATAGTGTGGTTTTCTAGGTTGATTGAGGTCGAGATGTATTTCGTTGATGTATTAATTTATGAGAAATTAATGATTATACTCTGATGTTAAATTGAAGTTATGCTGCTACAAATTGAGTATCTATTGAGATTAGATTTGGTATACTTCAAACCATGAGATGTATACTAGACGAATTGGGTTATGAGGGTATACTTTGGCATGTAGGAAACATTGAGAAACTATCATAGTGGTTTAGTTCAATTTATTGATGCGATACTTGATTGAGGATTGTTTAACCATGTGTAATTATTATTATCGTTATTTAACCTATTTTTTTAGTGTTAGTATTCACACTATATTTCTCTGAATGTTGTTTCAGGGGTTTCTTTCTGTTTCTCATTCGTTTTCATACGAATAATTGTTGTCGTTCAATAAATAAACGTTTAAAACACGTATACAGTGCTGTCTTAGCTCACTCCTTTGACGTCTTGTGACCCATGACAATTTAAATAACATTATTCAATTCTATTCTATACTAATATAGATCTTAAATAGAAAACAAAATTATATCATATTTGGGTTTGCTTTTTACACTTCGAGTCTATAATTTGGCTGGTGTTGCATTTTTTTGTTTAAACTTGTTTTATTCATTTTGAATTCTATTGCTTATTGGCATTTGACTTTCTATCGCCTCTGATCAAGTCAAGCCCAATAATCTTTTTCATTCTGATTTAATAAGGTTTATAACCGAAAGATCTTTAATCAACTCAATTCTATTACCGAAATACTGAAAATTGTTGATGCTGGTTCCTAAATAAAGGTCTATCACCAACAGATCCTGTTGAATCTGATGAATTTTAATGACTATTTAGCAAAAACTATAATTTTTTTTACATAATAATTTGCAACACCTTTTATAATACCTCTTCTCCATTTTCATTGATTATATCCTCAGCATTGTCAGCAACCTTCCGTAGGAACTTCAAGAGGGCGAATAATGTGTCTCGATTAGCGGTTGGAAGTAAATAAACCAACCATTGTAAGATTTGTAGCTGTTTTTCCTGGTCACTGACTCCTGAAAATAAAATAGATTTTGCATTTATCTTAAGAATTAGTCAAAAAATGCACAGAAAGATATATGGTATTAGAAGAAGTTCAAAGCCAGTTCATGTTGTATTTTTAGTTGAACTGATTGTCAGCTGTCCAACAATAAGTTTTCAAAATTGCAAAAGGTATTGTAGAGGTAGAAATCTCTGGACTGAAGTACGTTCGTAGAGATTTGTGATAATTATGCCATTATCTGTTGTGGACAGATGAACAAGTGTAGCTAGTATCGGTTTACCGGGACTCTTAGGTGAGAAACAAGTTACTAGTTCACCCCCTCAAGCACTTTGAAAATATGGTACAAAGCGCTATATAAATCCAACCACATTACATTAAAATTATGAATGCAGTTCTGACTTCAAGGTACAGATGGTGAAGTGCAGTTGTAAATCAAAACATTCAATTCAATCTATTCCACGAAACTTTAAGCCACCGGCCCTTTTGTATACACAAATATCATGAATAATAGTGAGTATATTGCAGAGAATTAACCAGTGTTGTAAAATGCTATCAATCTCATTTCTCCTGTTTGTGTTACTAAAATAAACTTTGCTTGTGTTGGAAACAAATGATAATATCTTCGATAATACCTTGGAGTCTTAAATCATGATATGTAATGTTCATGTTATGATTTCAAAAACATTCTATAATGCAACAGTAAGAAACAGTAGAATGGGATAACCTGGATTGAAGATAATGAATCAAAATTGAACTTAAACTTTCCCTCCTCTGTCTGGGTGTTCTCCTGGTTTTTGCTTATTACCTTAACACTTACAATGCTCCTTCCACGGTTTTCTCGCATTTTGATGTAGGTTTTGCTTTTTTACGATTTTTCAATATTCCTTCAATTTTGTATGCTATTTTCTGTATTTTTGTTGTCATTTTTCTGCTGTTAATATTTTACCTTTGTGAATCCATACGCAATTCAGTCTTGTTGCTGCTATGTATATTATATTAAGTTTATTGACTAAATATACCTCAAAATAATAACAATAGATGAATCTATTGGCAATAGCACGGTATAAATAATTATAGACAGACAGATAGATAGATAGATAGATAGATAGATAGATAGATAGATAGATAGACAGTTGTACAAAGTACTTTATATTTTGTATATATTGTATTACCTTATTTTAGATTAAATATGAAATATATCAATAATACTATAGATAGATTTAAATATTATTATATATTAATTATATTTGTTTTTTTTAACTTGTAATGGAAATAAGCATCTACTCCACACAATGCAATACCTTATAAACTTTTCATACACTAATAAAATTAAATGTAAAAAAAAAAAAAAAAAATAGATTTTCATTCGCCTACTTACGTCCAGCAGCAACAAATACTGTGTAAAGGTCTCGAGTCAGAAGAGGTTCGGGTATATCACGAAAGAACTCTTTCAAGAGGGCGCCAACATCATGCACTGAATGCGTTTCGTTCAGCCAAATTTCTGTTCCACTATCATATGCTTCTCTAAGCTGAAAAGTATTAGATATATAAAAAAGTTAAATACAATCATACAAAAAAGATTTTTGTAAGTTTTACAAGTTGTTTGTTTCATATTCTATTTTCCCTCAATGATATTTTCTATTTTAATTTCACAAATGCAACAGTCTTGTAGAAAACAGGCCCCTGAAATGTATCAACACTGACACTATAAACCCTGTCTCTTATACACATCTTTTCCCAAACAAAAGCCCAGGGTATGACTTTTACAAATATTCTCAAGAAAAAACATCAATATGGACTTGGATTAAAAACACAGTGGTGAAGAATTGCCATTCGATTGAAAACGAGATTCCCCAGGTATAGGTCCACCCCCAAAAATTAGCCCAATTTTGGGTTCGAGGAGGTGGAATTATACAAGAAGAACTACAGTATATATATAAAAAAACTATTTCAAGTTGCATTACATTCTTGTCGTAATAAATAAATGTTCAAAATAATGTAGTAGAAAATGGACTTTAATCTTATCAGGAAAACCTTGTTCATAAGCCTAAAGGGTGAGTGACCTGCATACAGTAAATGACAGACATATACTAAAGTGGATCTGAACTTTATGTGATCTAAACACCTAAGTGATCGACAAGGTAGTAGCGACAACAGCTGTGTCATCTCCTCAGATAATGACATTAGCACTAAATACAAAACTTCACTTCAGAAGACATCACACACTTGGATAACCATCAAACGAACCGGTAACAAGGATGGAAATAGATGCAATCAGCGACCCCGAACTAGTAGTTGTTACGTGCTGTTCATTTGGTGTAACTCACAGAGCAATCAGTATAAAATTATAATGAGAATGTTATGATTTGAAACAACGCACTAATGATAATGTGCGAAATATAGCAAGAACAGGCAGGAGGCCAAATCTTCAATCGTATACTCAATATAGCATAATTTGTGCACATCAAGCTCTAGAATTCACATAGTCCTCTGTGAGTCAAAGCTAGCATAGAGAATTGTTCTTTCCTACCCCCCCCCCTTTTCCCTGTAAGGCTGTTGTATGAACATTAGGCCGTCTAGTCTAGCGCCCTCTGTATACGGCTATGACGATATAGTCTATGACCCGTAAGGTCAGATTAAGCATGTTGTTATGAGGGGTGACATGTTTGATGTACCGTTGTATGTTATGTTGTTGCCGAAGTTATATAGTTGAATTAAAAATAATACTGTTGTTGCAGAACAGCGTCGAGTCCGATTATTTACTTTGGGATAACCTCCCTTACATTCCCCACAAAAAGAAGAAAAACCATCAGGCAGAAAAATATGTTATGTATTTTCTACATATTAGTAGACTATCTACCTATAAAATCGATTAAATAATCATCTGAACCTCTAAATTGTCATATTTTTTGGGGCTTCGCCCTTGGCCCATTTTTGAGACATTTTTAACAACACCCGATCACACCCACTTCAGCATATTGCCACCCTAAAATTTTACCTTGCCCCTCACTTGTCTCCCCCACCCCCAGATTTCAGACGCTGGCGCTGCCACTGTGTGTTCCCTTGCATTGAAGATTAGTTTAGTGTCTTCCGGAATCGCAGGATCAGCGGTCCCAAGTCTCCTGCAAGTTGCGAGAGCATTCCGGAAATCCGGGACGGCCTCCCACTCCCGAAAGCAAGCAAGAATAACCGAAAATATAACCCATCTTCCACAGATTTATAATAGTTGTATGTTTTTACTGCTTTATTATCAATTGTCTCAAAAGGTCAGTGTCGATAAGTCTCACTATAGTAAAATAAAATCAAAAGAAAGCTCATTTAACCAGATATTCTGGAAGCAACCTCTTCAAACTTTGGACCCCTGCAGTAGTCTCCTGGAAATCAACCTCACTCTCTCAAGATCTCCCACAATTAAGCAAAAACATCTGGAGACTAACTCATCTTCCGCAATGTTCAAGATGTATGCAAATTTTTACTGTTGTATTATTAATTAAATGTGAAATGGCGTAGGTATCACCACACAGAGCAAAATGCAATTAAATGAGTTTCAAGTAAAAACTCATTTAAAGCAGATCTTCCCATTGTCTTCTCCCAACTTGGGATTTAACAAATCAGAGTACACACATAGTGTTTGTTGATGTTTAATGTAAATGGGGTATATGAAAATCTTTTACCTGTCTGGTCCGCTTCTTGGATCCCCCGACTCGGAATATCCCAACCGTCCTCATTGCATACTTCTCCAGATGTCTGATACAGCTCATAACAACTTGCGGAACCTGCGGTTCACGTGGATTGAGGCTCTTGCGTCGCTCCCGTCTATGAGTAACGCTGCCAGCTGTTGATAATGACAGTGCATCCAAAAGCGATGTTTTGTCGGCATTAGGAGTGAAGTTTACACCCTTGAGGGATAATGAAAATTTATTAATTATTATTTTGATAATTTTTAGATACATGGCTAATTTAGCCAAGTTGCTTTAGTAATATTTATTACAACGGCAGCAACAGCAAATGCTCATGTCAATGTTAATTATTACAAAATGTATCAACACTGACACTATAAACCAAGGGCAGTAATTATTTGTGACTAATCGCAAAGAATCGATGCGATCTTTGTCAAACTTGTTTTATATTCTCCATCAAATGACATCAGCATTAATAAGTATTGTTAGCTTACTGGAGAATGAAAAATAGCACCATTTAATGAAGCAAATTTTTAGATTACTCTAATGGCGCCCTCAGTAAACTCATGTGATTACACCGTAGATGTTACTAAATGTGGAGTGCACCGTAGATGTTACTAAATGTGGAATGCACACAAATTAAAAGTATATGTATCCTACCTTTGGAGCATTCTTTAGCTGACGAGGTTTTGGTCTGACTGCGTTAGAGTGTGCGAGGTCCAAGCTCTCACGTCGTTCTCTCATACGTGAAGATCGGTATTTTCGCAATTGTTCATCGTGCGAAATACATTTTTCTAATGGGATCCCAAACATTAATCCGGAAAGAGCATCTGAAAAAATTGATAGGAAAATTAAGACTCATTATATCATTCCTACGTAAAAAACACAATGGATAACTTATGCAAGTCTGAAGACTTATTTCTATTTCTATCTGGTGGCAACAATCCCACTACGTTGCTGAAGAGTGTATGGTATTGTCTAACAGGCACACAGGGCATATTTCACCCAGGGCCAATAGCTAATCTAAAGATAGATTGCAATTACAACTTGAATTTCAGTGCTCTAGAATGCAGTGGAAGGAACAGAACCGGTGAATATAAGTGATTTCAAGATCGATCCACAGTTCAGAACACACGGTAGATACCAACAGTGCAGCCGACTTGATCTTTCCTGGTCCGAGTTCAAACAATAATTTGGAGATAATGGTAACCAATCATCTCAATGCTGATAGTAATTGTTATTGTCATGATGGAATAATAAACAATAACTGGATTTGCGTCAGGAGAAACATGTATAGGTGTAATTTTGCCCTACCTGACGTGGAAATGTACCGAATACTCAGTACATTTGAAAACAACTGCAAAGAAAATCGCAAGTTGTTCTCTTGTGGGACTCGAACCCATGATCTCCAGATCACTAGCATGGCATCATACCTCTAGACCATCATCTCAATGATATTATCATCAATAATTATTACATTATATTATTTGTTACTACTTTTCATTCAAAAATAACATTGTTATTCTATACCTTTCCCATCTTTGCTGGCTTCTTTAAGTTTCAACGTATCAATTAAATTTGTGTTCTTCTGTCTGCTTCGCAAAATACTGCCCCCTTTCTTTGGCCTTTTGAGTGCTGGATCTGTTGAGCAAAGAAAACAACCAAACCTTGTTTACAGAATCTTCAGATAATAAGAACTATTATTAAATACATGATTCAACATTTTAAAAATAGTGAACGACTGCCAATGTTCTCCAAATTGACCGGTCACTCAAAACATATTGAAGCATTTGAAGAATACAAATTGCCTACTATTTATAGACAGACACTTAAGTTCCTGACAAAAGTCAATTTATATATAATTTGGACAAGGAATCAAATAAAAACAGATCAGTTGTTTACTTGTAACCAGTACTCTATAAAAAAATAGACAATTCTAGAATAGATGCAAAGCTTAATTCCTATAAGTCCCTAGCTCTTTATAAAATACTAGTTTTTAAATGACAGAAATTGGGTGGGTGGTTTTGTTTGGTCCGATTTGGATTTGTAGTGAATAATTAATTATCTTTGAAAAACTTTCTCAAGAAAAGAATTTCAGAGATTAATTGCTTTTGTGTCAAAATGAATCTAGTGTGGGAAAATGAGATTGTAAGCTTAAAATAATGACCACAAGTTCAAACAAATTTCAAGTTCGATGAAAATTGTACAATTACAATTAAAGGACTCTATATCTAGTACAGTAACAAAATTCAAGGGAATAAAATATGGTTTGTGCTTAAAACCTGTGTTAACAGAGACGCTCATTCCCGATTTTCTTGTTAGAATTATCATGTAATTGCACACACAGGGACCATTTTGTAAAATGCTTTCCAGTAAAAGAATAAACAAATGAATAAAAATAGCAAATTCAGCACTTTATTTATATAATAAAAATCATAGGAAGTCTGAAAATAAAAGAAGCAAAATCAGGAATATACTGGATTCATTCTGCATATTAATCTCTTTCATTTTATATTGATATCTTTTAATTAATCATATCAAACTAAGAAATCACCACAGAAACATATTCAGATTTTAATGCAAATTACTATCCAAAATCCAATAGTTTTTTTTTTCAATTAACAATTTTTTTCATCATTTGTATCAAATACAAAGTTGCCATGGAAACATGGCATTGAAGATTTACAGTATGTTAATTGCTTTTCAAACTCCTTGGTTTAGATTAATTCAAAGCTACATGGTAATATATTATCTACCATAGAAACTGATAAAGTAAATCGTATTACATTTATGATACTCTGTGTCGGATTTAAGAGGAGGGGGGTCTGGGGACCCCTAAATTTGTGAAAAATGCCCAAACTGCTGGCATCACCAATAGATGGCATGCCTCAGTAAAATAATCATTGTGAAGTCCTGTATATATTGACCTATGAAATACAGTATCATTAATTTACAAAAACTTAATTAAATTCATATTTGTAGCACTTTTGTAGGTCAATTTAACAAGGTCAGACAAGTGTGCACAAAATAAAAAGCAAAATTTTAACCTTTGATATTTTGAAAGTTCAGTATGTTTATTTTGAATAATATTTAGTGAGGATTAAACCAGTTTACAACTCAAGGGATCTGATTATTAGGGGCTTTTAGTTACAAATTCTTATGATAATTAGAGACAAACTTGAATGTTAAATGCTAAATGTCTCTCTGAGTTTAGGCGAGACTTTTATATACCTTGTTTACCAAACCCTCCGACTGCTAATAAAGGTGATTTCGAATAAAGATAACATTTTATTTTTGAACAGTTACCACACCTGCCATGAAAAATTTAATTAATACATTTTATTTTCTCCTCTGTCTAGATGCTTTTAGCAGAACCAATTTGCTAAATAAGAAAATTATTAATAATATATTTTTTTCTGCCCTGTGACAATCTTTAAAAGAATAAGTTCGCTATACAAGGTCTCGCCTTAGGCCCTATAAAAAAATATTATTAGTTTATCACCCTATCTGGGCAGGAAAAATGATGAGGGAGGGAGGTTTTTTTTATTTTTTTTTATTTTGCTAAAGCCAAATATCACCCTTGGGTTGTTTGCTGGTGCATTGATATTCAAAGTAAAACATGATTTTGATAATGCAAACAATATCTACTAACTATTTAATAAAATAAATGAAAAAAATAAATAAAAGAAATTAAAAAATATTCAAAAAAAATTTTTTCAAAAAAAAAAATTTTTTTTCCAGTACCATAAAAGACATGCGCGCGAGAATGATAAACTAATATTTTTTTTTATTGGGCCTTATGAAGTAGTCTGATAAACTCAGTCCTACAGCTTTACTGCAGCATCCCATCATGCCATACTGCTTTAGGTAGCCACAAGAAAGTCTCATTCAAAGAGGGGTTAGGTGGATCAAAACATGTGGGTAATTCTCGGCTCTTCTTAAAGGGTGTTGTGAGCTCAACTACACAATGATATCCAAAGAGAATCGAAGACCCCCCAGAAGTTTTGTCTATGGGTGATGGAGGGTGATAAACATTATGAGGGTTATCATAAAAAATAATAATCACAGCCTTCAAACAATCCTGTATTTGAAAATTGTTCTGACATTCTGTATTTACTTTTGGGAGAATTCATTTATTAGGTTTCCTTAAGTTGTTTGGGAATTTGTTTAGTTTTAATTGTTTAGCATGTTTAATGCCTTCATTCTCAATTATCAATACCGCTGGGAGTTAGTGATTCCCATGGGGAAAGAAGACAGCAAATCAAAGCCGGAAAAATTTAAAAGTATGACGTAATAGGCAGCCAAACTGGGAAAACTTATATATGGAAAGAAAAACACAAGGATTATCGTTACTATGTACTTATGCATGAAACTAGGCCACGTTTCCAGATCCCACATCCCATAAAACACAGACATCATTTCTAGCATTGCTACAAAATGCAAACAACCCAATAGATTAACCAATGATTAGGATTAAGCTTGGAAATCCAGTATCATATTAAAAAAAGTTTACAGAAGAGTATAAAGTATTTTTAAGCCATCACATAATAATCTTTCTTAATGTTAAAAGTGCTACACTAATGTGAAAATAGAACATTTAGCTGAAAAAAATGGGTTCATAAAATAACAATAACAAAATAGAAACAATTGTTGTAAACTAATATAAGCAATAACAATCCAAAATTCAGAGCAATGCCGGGAGGGGACCACTCAGAGGATATGCTTCTCCCAAATAAAAATAAAACAATAATAACAATAATAATCTCAAAGTATTTCCATAAGAAGTAGGAAAATTATCTGTTTATTAAACCTAAAACGACTAAAGAACTTCATATATTTAAACCTAGAATGAACAAAGATATCGGCAACACAGTCTACTTATTTATGACAAGGGCGGACATAAATCTCAATGAACGATACATAATACGAGACATTTATCACAGACTTGCAATACGATTATTTACTGTATTTGTGCGTAAGTTTTAAATGTCGCAGATTTTTCGCAGTACAAAGGACATGATTAATTTCCCGGCTACTGTGTTGCGAGTGGTTTACACGACGATTCATCACATAGTCTCAGAGGCTAGAAAAATGGTTTGCAATGCTGCCCTCGTTTGTAAAGTGCTTTAATTGCCGACAGCAAACTGTCCAGGGAAATCATGACAATACATATAACATGACAGTACTAGCTCCCCAAAATTATCAATTTATGTTACAAGCTGTTAATGGATACATACAATAATTACAGAGCTACGATACTAATGAAGTACTCACTACATATGACATTTTATACCTGGTAATAATAAGTATAAATAAATATTAAAAAACATACTAAGAATAACAAACAATTTCAATTATATTCTACACCTTAAGCACACATGGGTAGGGATCTGCAACTATCATAAATCTATATTTTAATTATTATTATTATTATTATTATTATTATTATTATTATTATTATTATTATTATGTTATTTATATTGATATTGTGTATTATTATTATTATCATTATTATTGGTACATTAAACTGACACACGCACACACACATATATCCAATATTGATATTAACATTAATGGTGACACCAGTAGGGATTCGGAGTGAGGGTACAAACCCACTATTGGGACTATCCTTCGGGGAAGAGGCAAATTATTAGTGCCATCTCTGGGTTCTAGAGGTCCCTATTCTTAAAATTTGCTCACTTAGCCTCAAACCATAATGAAAATGAGGTGGGTATGGACCCCCTTTGCAGATTTATCTAATCTCTGGTACTTCCACTAATCAACATTACAGACAGAAAAGAAAATATTTAAAAGTATTGTTAAGAAATGAGATCAAGAATAATTCTGTACTTTATTATTTTACTCTATTATTGATTTGTATATTTTGAGATGATATAAAACCTTTTGGTCATCAAGAACAAAAAACATTACAAACAACCACATATGGGGAGGGTCGTTTATGATCCCTAACGCACTCATGCTAACATAATTCAGGATTACAGGGAACAGGTTGTCATGATGAAGTTTACATCTCAAGAACTAATGTAATATCGCTGCATGGGTAAAAATGGTATTAAGGCCAACAAGAGAGACGGCAGAGAAAGAATAAAGTGGAGGAAATGAACGGCTCGCGTTGAATGGGATATGATACGTGACACTTTACATGAAATTACTAGCAGAAATCACTGTACAAATAGAAAATACTTTTTTAATGATCATAATCAATTGCAAAGGCACTGTACAAGCAAGGTAAAAGTAAGCCAGAGTTATATTTGTATTTTATTACCGTATTTATTTGAATAACGCCCCGGGGCATTTATTGTTGAGAACCGTTTTGGAGGTGGTGAGGGAGGTGTTTATTTTTTCTGGTGTAAAATGGATACATAAAAACATCCCTTAATTTCACTGTAAATGTGGAACAGGTTGGTAACTCATAATTACAATCAAAATGTGTTATTGCATGATCATAAGAACTTGATACTAACCAGGTTAGAAAAAATGTAATTCTACTGGAGTAATGTGTTGAGAATTATGTTGCTTTCATTAGACTTGTTTAGAGTCATTTAGGGGAAATTAATTCTAAATGAAGCTCTAGATGGGGGCTTTTACTCAAGCGGGGAAGGCATTAATTAAAAATAAGG